GGCCTGCAAGTGGGCATGCCGTGCGTTGCCTTTGCGATATTTGCTGGAACATCTTCGCTTTGACAATCCGCAGCTACGCCGTCCAGCCCAGCTCCAGGTCAGATCCTGTGTTAATTCCCCATCAAACCATATCCCATTTGGCCGGCTACATGGTATCAACTCCACCGTAGTACCTCCGTTCTTGAAATGCGGACGCTCCAGGTCCTGTATGTCAATCGTTTGTGGATCGTCTACGACATGGTGTACGACGTATGTGAGCGAATTCTCTGCGGAGCGTGTGGCCTTGTCTCTATTTCCTTCGTCATGCCATTTTTGTTTATTGAGCATACTCTTTGTTGAATGCCCGGCCAATCACCATCCGCCGCACCTCACTCGTGCCGGCACCAATCTCATATAGCTTTGCACTGTTGGGTGTTAGTACGTGACATGAACCATGACAAAGTGAGAGTGAACAAAACGAAAGGGGCGCGGCTGTGTCTTACTCTCTCAGAATCCGGCTTGCAGGCATCTCCTCCATGTAGCCCATGCCGCCGAGCAGCTGGATGCTGTCCAGTGCGCACTCCGTCGCCCGCTCCGCCGCGTACAGGATCGCGCCCGCACAGTCCTGCGTCCGGATCACGCCGGTCTCGTCTACCTGCCGCGCCGTTGCGTACGTGTACGTCTGCGACGCCCGCATCTTGGTGTACATGTCGGCCAGCTTGCCCTGCACGAGCTGGAAGTGCGCCACGGGCACGCCAAACTGCTTGCGCTGGTGCACGTACGGCAGCGTCACGTCGAGCGCCGCCTGCATCAGGCCCAGCGGGCCGGCGCTCAGCACCAGCCGCTCGAGGTCCAGGCCGCTCATGAGCACGCGCGCGCCGCCGTGCAGCGCGCCCAGCACGCGGTCGGCCGGCACAAACACATTGTCAAACATGAGCTCGCCCGTCGGGCTGCCGCGCATGCCCATCTTGTCCAGCTTGCGCGCGCACGAGAAGCCGGGCGACGTGGCCGTCTCGACCAAATACGCCGTGATGCCCTTGGACCCGGCGTCCGGCTTCGTCTTGGCGTACACCACCACGACGTCCGCGTACGGCCCGTTGGTGATCCACATCTTGCTGCCGTTGAGCACGTAGCCCGGGCGGCCCTGGTCGTCCGTCGCCTCCTTGGCCGTCGTCCGCATGCTGACCACGTCGCTGCCGGCGCCGCTCTCCGACATGGCCAGAGCGCCCACAAACGCGCCCGACGTCAGCTTCGGCAGGTACGCGGCCTTTTGTTCGGGCGTGCCATGCAGCTGCAGCTGGTTCACGCACAGCTGCGAGTGCGCCGCGTAGCTCAGCGCAATCGACCCGCTCGCCCGCGACAGCTCCTCCATGACGATGCAGTGTGCCTGGTAGCCGAGGCCCAGGCCGCCCACATCCTCGTCGGCCGTGATGCCCAGAAAGCCTGCCTCGCCCAGCTTGGGCCACAGCGCTGCCGGGAAGTCGTTGTTCTTGTCGGCCGCCGCGGCGACCTCCTCGGAGACCTCGCGCCGCGCAAACTCCTGGACGCGCTCACGCAGCTCTTCGAGATCCTCGGGCGTCGGCGGGACAAAGCCCTTGGGGTGCTTGGACGACGCCAGGCGCGCCTGTTGGAAGGTAATGGCCGACGCGGCGGGAGCGGCGAACGGGAGTGGCAGTGCCGTGCCGCGACGCTGGGCGACACGACGGCAAGACGATGCGGCGGTCCGTGCCAACGGCCGGAGAGACTGCAGACTGGCCATTTGGTCGTGGTCGTGGTTGTGATTGTTTGTTGTTTTGCTATTGGAGAAGCTTCTGTAGTTGGATGGATTCTTTGATGAGTATTTCGCACAGTCGATTCGATACGTGCCTTCAATCAAGAACGACGTGGAAAAGGATGCCAAAGATCGATTGACGACGCAGGCAGAGAGTAGTTGTACCGAGAGATGCGAAAAAGATGACAAACTTCCAAGAGACACAAAATGCCAAAAGTACCAGAACAGGCGAAGAATGGAAATCTCCTGTAAATTTGAAAGTGTCAATGTACTTGCCCTCAATGTGTTTTGTGTGGCATGTGTACACCTCGGCTTTAGGAAGTACGAGTGGACAAGTGGGGGATAGTTAGGGAAGGTGCTGTCAGGCTGCTAGCAGCGGGAAGCGGTAGTTCAGAAGACACGCTACAACCAACGGCTTACGACGGCTTTCTTCGGCAAAGTGCGCTGTTGGTAGCAAACTACATCAGCTGCTCCCCAGATTGCTCTGGGGCAAGACGTCACTCGCACCTCCCCAAACCGTCCAGTTAAGTAATTGGCGGCACCCTACGGCACTGAACGGCACTAGGAAAGGGCAACTCCCCCTCGATGCTCGCAGTGCCTTGCACCTGCCAGGAACGGAATTATTTTTAAGTCTCAAAATTCGGTGTTTCTCACGATAGCTGCCTTCGATCTCCTATTTACCTCCTTTCTCCCTTTTTACTGTTCTTTGCCATCCCTTCCCACCGACACCACATCTCAGCACACACCCCGCCCACCATGACGTTCTCCAGGAACGCGCGCGGCGCGCTCCGGCTCACACCGCAGCTGTGCAACACCTGCCGGCGGACGACGGCCACGACAGCGCCGGCGGCGACAGCGGCACGAGCTTTGAGCACACAACTCAGCCCCGTCAGACCCGTGCAGAGATCATTGGCCCGGACAACCAATGCGCCCGTCGTGCCATCGTCACGCGGCATTGCTGCCTTTGCCGCGGCTGGCCCCTCCGACGCCACGCTCTCCCGCATTCCTTCAACCGTCGACACCACATCGGACATCTACCAGGAGAACCTGGGCCTCATGAAGGAGGCCATGGAGCGTCTCGACCGCCTGACGCGCGCGGCCCAGCGTGGCGGCTCCGAAAAGGCGCGTGCCAAGCACGTGGGCCGTGGCAAGATGCTGCCGCGCGACCGCGTGGCTGCCCTCGTCGACCCGGGCACCAGCTTTATGGAGCTGTCCACGCTCGCTGGCGAGAACCTCTACGAAGAGGACGGCGGCAAGCCCCTGGCGCTGCCCTCGGGTGGCATCATCACGGGCATCGGTGTCGTGGAAGGCGTCACCTGCATGATCGTGGCCAACGACAGCACCGTCAAGGGCGGCACCTACTACCCCATCACCATCAAGAAGCACCTGCGCGCCCAAGAGATTGCTGCCCAGAACCGGCTGCCCTGCTTGTATCTCGTGGACTCGGGCGGCGCCAACCTGCCGCACCAGGCCGACGTGTTCCCCGACCGCGACCACTTTGGTCGCATCTTTTACAACCAGGCGCGCATGTCGGCCCAGGGCATCCCGCAGCTGGCCGTCGTCATGGGGCCCTGCACGGCCGGTGGTGCCTACGTGCCGGCCATGTCCGACGAGAGCATTATCGTCCAGAACCAGGGTCATATTTTCCTGGCCGGCCCCCCGCTCGTCAAGGCCGCCACCGGCGAGGAGGTGACGCCCGAGGAGCTCGGCGGTGGTCTGATGCACTCGTCTGTGTCGGGAGTCACCGACTACCTGGCGGTCGACGATGCCCACGCCATTGCCCTGGCGCGTCGCAGCGTCGCCAACCTCAACTACCCGCAGCAGACGCCGAGCCTGGAGAAGACCACCGCCGCCGGCGCTGCCGCCACGTTTGCCGAGCCCGTTTCGGATCCCGAGGAGCTGCTCGGCATTGCCTCCACCAACCTGCGCCGGCCCATCTCGGCCCATGAGGTCATTTCGCGCATCGTCGATGGCTCTGCCTTTGCCGAGTTCAAAAAGGACTACGGCACCACGCTCGTCACGGGCTTTGCCCGCATCTACGGCCAGCGTGTCGGCATCGTGGCCAACAACGGTGTCCTGCTGTCGACGGCCGCCGTCAAGGGCGCCCACTTTATTGAGCTGTGCTCCCAGCGCGGCATCCCGCTGGTGTTCTTGCAAAACATTTCGGGCTTCATGGTGGGCAAAGAGGCCGAGCGCGAGGGCATTGCCAAGCACGGCGCCAAGCTCGTCAACGCCGTCGCCTGTGCCGACGTGCCCAAGCTGACCGTCGTCGTCGGCGGCAGCTACGGCGCCGGCAACTACGGCATGTGTGGCCGCGCCTACAGCCCGCGCTTCCTCTGGATGTGGCCCAATGCGCGCATTGCCGTCATGGGCAGCGAACAACTGGCCACGGTCATGGAGACGGTCGGCCGGGCGGATCCCGAGCTGCGCAACCGCATTGAGCGCGAGAGCGACGCCGTCTACTCGAGTGCACGACTTTGGGTAGGTCGAACACATGTTTCCCTCCACATTACCCCCCTTCCTTTCATGTCCAACTGCTAACTGTCCAGGATGACGGCATTATCCCGCCGCAACACACTCGCCGGTACCTTGGCCTCGGCCTGCGGGCCGCTATGGGCGGGCGCAACGAGGTCGAACCGAATGCGACCAAGTTTGGTGTCTTTAGGATGTAAATGGGGAGGAGAGAAAAGTCCCTCGGAGAGATTTTATCATTGAACTGTGTTCTTCTCTTTTTTGTTTGTTTGATTGCTTAGAGCGTAGATGTGGCCGGTTGTACACTTTGAACTGATTTACTTGGTTTCTCGTCATGTTTGGTGGAAGTAATACCAAAACAAAAACTGTGCAATGAATGATTTATTTCGAACATTAGGTTTGTCATCGACAAGTATACGAATGTGTATCGTACTAAAAGAACCAGACACTGCTTATGCTACAAAACGAAATACAACATCGAAGTGACAGAAGTACAAAAAGACATGCTGCTCAACCTTATCGCCGATGAACGCACCCTTAGGTAATAGAAAAAGCCCCGTATCCCTGAGCCCCCTTTCAGAACGGTAGCGAAGACCTGAACGCCATACATGTCGAAATGATGTTTCTTTATTGTTGTTCAAATGCTGGAGGAAATCGATGCTGCTCGGTGGAATCAAATGAGGTCGCTAAGATAAAACAAATCTTGAAAAAATAATAAAAATAAACAAAGTAATTAGAAACCGAATAGAAAATACAAAGAACCGTGCTCAAGTGCCGCTCAAGAGTTGCGGTGCTCTCGGTCGCCGGGCTCGTGCTGGTCGCGTGTGCGGGACTCTCGCCAAGACGCATAGCTGCCCTCGCCCAGGCGTTCCTTCTCGCGGTCCAATATGACGTTGAGCTGGCTGCGGGTGCGCGCAAACGGGATGCGCGGGGTCTGTGCTGGCCGCGTCGGCGTGAAGAGCGGTCGGGGCAGTGCGGGCTGTGTGTCTTGGAAACTGGAAGAGGCGGCATTCTGGAAGCTCGACGGGGCCTGGAAGCTCGAACTAAAGCTTCCCGTTTCCGACATGTACGCCGGCAGTTCGCTGCTGTCTTCCTTGTCGTCGTCGTCGGGCTCTTCGGGCGGCTCTTCCAGCCCCGTCTTTGCGTACAACTCAAATGTGTCAGGGCCTTCAGCGTCCATAAATACACCTTTTGCCGCGACCATGGAGGCTGCCGTCACCGTGGACGACCGCATGGGCCCCAGAATGGGGGACTGGTAGCCGGGGATTAGTCGTGGCCGTGTTCCATAGCTATCTTGCGACATGGACCGACCCATCATGGGGGCCGCCGGGGCTGCCGCCAATAGACCGGGTGCTGCTGCTGAGCCAGGGCCCACGTAGGCCGAGGTAGGTGGTAAAGCATGTGCGGTGCCTCTGCTAGACGGCATTGTCGTAGTCAGACTAATACGGCTCAGTTGTTGTCTGTGGCTCTGCCCGGGCTCGTATGGCATTGTGGATTGCCGTATCAATCCGCCGCCTGGACGAGGTATTGCCTCGGGGCCGCCGGGAATCTTTGGCCGCTGTGTCGACTGCCTATTGCGAAAAGCAACGGGCACCTCGAGTCCACCTGATGAACCGCCCGAGGATGCCAGGCTCCCAGGTCCTCCCGATGCGCCCGTCACATACTGGGCAAACGAGGACCGCTTTCGTGAGGCAGTTGCTAGTGTTGGTGCAGGTGCAGTAGTGGTTCCTGTGACGGAACCCGCTACTGATCCCGATACCGAAGAAACTGCAGTCGATTCGGACGCTGGCGAGGATGTCCGTTCCGGATCTGCAAGAGGCTGATGCCCGGCGGGTTGCTTCCCGGCCGCCTTTTCTGTCATGGCGGCTAATTTCGGTGACCGCCGTTGTTGCTTTAAGACCCGTGACTTGGATGGCATCGGGTTCGGGCTTTGTGGTGAAGACAATGCAGGAGGAAGAATGGCGTCCTCCAATTCTTCCTCTTCGACGCCAACAAGCGACTCGCCGGAATGGCGCGGAGGGAAATACGACGGGGGCTCGCGGGACCCTGGGCCTTCGGAGGCACCAGACGACTGTGAGCCGTGTGAACCGGATCTTTTGGATACCACAGTTCGTCGTTTGGAGGCGGATGAGTTGACGACAAACTTCTTCTTAGCCGCTTTGCCTTTACCAGACTTGGTGACTGCTTCGCGCTTGCTGGATGCTGTTTTGCTGTTGCTATTGTTGCTGCTACTGCTCGAATGTTTTATTGGCTTGCTCTCGCGATGGTCTGAGTGGTTCGTGTCGGTGCTTCCATTGCCACTGCCAATACTACTTGCACTCGTGACTGCATCTTCGTTGGCCTCACTGCTGCCTCCCAATTGAACGTTTTGTTCGTCCTCTTCTGCCTCGGAAGGTTCACCAGACGGCAGGGCGAACCGTGGCGTTGGGCGGGGACCCGACAACGACGGCCGAGGTTTCCGGAGAATCGATTGCGCCGGGGCTGGCCTTGTCGAGGAAGATGAGAGCAGCTTGACATGTGCATCCTGCTGAGCTTGCTTGTGATCAAGCGTGCCGGTATCTGCTCGCTCGCCCTCGGTAGTAGAGTCTGCATTGTTGACTCGTTTGGGTGCCACAGCCGCGGCGTGCGAGGACGCTCCTGACACAGGTGCATCCTGGCTTGGCCTTTGATCGTCACTCGCACTCTGTTTACTTGATCCCGGAGGATTCGATGTCCCCGTTGCCGTCGTTGCCGTTATAGACGGAGGTGGGAGCATGAAACTGATCTTTGAAAGAGAGGGACAGTCAGTGAGAGACTCAAAGCGAAACAAAATAGTCTAAGTCGCGGGGCATTACCGTTGGTCCGTCGTATCGACTGGCAGGTGTCCGCAAAGGGACAAATGTCGGGCCCGTCGAGATGTTTTCGTACAGCTTTGCAACGATCTTGCCACTAAGACCACGGCGCTTGCTGCCCCAAACATGCCACCAGAAGTTTTCCAAGCGGTTGGCGGTTGGATCGTACAACTTGCGATGCGTGATTGTGTACACTAGAGACCGTCTTGTTAGCTGTCCTATGCAGCCAGACATTTTAAGGCGGCGGGGCGAGGGTACGCACCGCGCCAGTACTCTCGCAGCTTCTCTGGAGGGATGACCTCAAAGCTAGCCACCTCGGCGTAGATTTCGGCCGTGTTCTCGACAAAGCCTCTCGGGAGAATGGGGAGAGCCGCCTCGATGGAATCCTGTTCAGCATTGTGAAGGGCCAAGGCGGCTGCATCCAGTGGAACGTGTGTCGGAGGATCGGTCTTGGACGCTGCCGCCGTCGCTTGTTTCACCAGGCCGGCCACTTGAACAGGGATGTCGTTGCTGCTGCTGGTCGGTTTCTCGCTCTCGCACAAACGATCGGCTTTCGTCGCTTTTAAACTCCCACGGTCGCTGCCTGGTATGACGGATGTCGCCATTTTGGAAGAGAGAACAAGCAACTCTTGTTTCCTCTTTCAACCCAACAGCTCACAAAGACAGACTGTTGACAAGAAACATATCCAGGACTTGCGACGTGTGTGTTGTTTGGGTGATTCGTCAACTTTGCGCTGGTTTAAGCGGAACACATACAATAGTTGCAGAAATGGGACCTTGATGCTTCACAAAAAGCTTATGAGCTCATAATCAGAAATGTAGAAATGATGTGGCAAAGTGACAGCCGTAGCAAGGGCCAGGAGCGAGGGGTGCGGAGTGAAGATTTGCACGGAGGTCGCCAGGCGACTTGGACGGGCTGTGGAAAGGTCGATGCGAAAGAAGACGGTCGGGATGAAGCGAGGGCGAAGGTGACAGCCCCTTTTCTTGGCCCCCCCTCTCAAAAAATAAATAAACTAAATAAAAATAAAGAGAAGGAGGGGCTGTTCGTTTGACGACAAACGACTAAGATGGGAGCGGTGTGAATAATGGCGGCAGCGACCCGTCAATAAATCTCCGTGCTCAGTACTTTGACTCGACAGAATTTGCAAACGAAATTAGAGTGAATGTGGAAGTACGGTGTTTGGGGTTTGGTGGACTAACAGGTCCCTCGACAAGGGACGTTGAATGGTGGAAAGTTATCGTGCCGCTGGTTTCCGTTTGTTAGTTTCTAAAGGCGAGACGGGTTAAAGAATCATTTGCAAGCTGATGATCAGAATAAAATAGAAACGAGTCAATTTTCGAAAACACAAAGGGCCGCGAGAGCGAAGGAAACAAATAGGCGGTACGGTTTCCTGTCATGGGAAAGAAGGGTTCTCCATTTTGGAAGATGAAGGGTCCCCACAAATCAGAAACCGGGGAAAGACGAAATATATTATGGGGAAGTCAAGGTAGTTAAGAGTGTATGGAGAAAGAGGCATCATAGTATTTAGGGCAGAGGAGGGGCATAACTGAGGTGCAAAGAACGGCGAAAAAAGAGGAAGTAAGGTGAGCAGCAGGGAGAAAGATATGCCGGAGAGGTCATGCATGTTGCCCGCAGAAGTTTCAAGACTAACGAAAGTGCCTGGTTGTACGGTATACTGCGAGGTGAGCCTCGTCGCATCGCACGAGCACGGGCATCGTATGTGGGGAGACGAGACCAGGGAACGGAAGTAGAGGAAAAGGGGGTGGCACCAGAGAAATAAAGGACAAACGTCTTGTGACTGGGCCTTTATTTTCTTTGCACAGCGATCGTGTGGACTTCGATTCCTTTAAGAGAAAGAGACAGAGAGAAGACGTTGCTTGAATATGGGCCTGGACTTGGACTGGTGGCGATGAGGTGCAGCCAGCCAACAGTTTTGGATGCAGTAATAAGAACTAGAAGCATCAGGTGGTGCCAGGTGCATGGGAGAGGTTACAGGATGCGCTAGGCGTGCGTGACACAGGCGGGGATTTGAGGTGGCAAAGTGTGGTTCATATTGAGAACATATGAAGAACACTCATACAAAGACGGAAAAAAGAAGAGATCAAAGTGCTTCACTCACAATTGCGCGGAGGCGGAGAGACCGGCGAGGCGGCTTTTGTTGATCTTGGCGGGGAAGGTCGATCTATTCGCGCTCTGAGATTGTAAATGTTGATATTAGGACTTGGCCGCTTGGCTGTGGAGTTGTGAAAGCGAGCTGGCAAGTAAGCTCAGAGCTGTGTATCCGGGCACCCTTGAGCTAACAAGATCGTCAGAAGGATGCTGGCTAGTCGTGCCGGCGGCTTGCGGTGGCTGGCGGCGGTGAGAAAGAAGTGTCTTGAGAACTTGTTGACGTTTCTGGGGTTTCGTCGACTCCGGGCACTGTAGAATAGCTTCGTGAAAGGCTGCCAAAAGGGGCCAAGTGGCCAGAAAGAGATATAAATATGTAACTATCGGGCAAACAGGCAAACGAGTGGTGCGGACTCAGTTGTGGCGTTTGTCGAGATCCGCGTTGGAATAAACAAAGGACAGTGAAGGAAATGGGATGCAGTTGGAATCGGACTTGGATTGAAAGCCTGGGCCTCGTGGTGACGATTCAGACCGGTCAGACGTTGTCGTCGCGGGCCGTTGTCGTGAGAGGAAGATTAAGGATGATGCACCGGAAAAACAAAAGACATGAGGTATTCTAGCGCAACTCGTATCGCACAAGAAGGGCAAACGATGTCGATGCCGGGATGTGGAGGCGGAGATGAGTCAGGTGGACGTTTGCGTGTAGTGGCGCATATCCTACTCAAACAAGGGAGAACCAACGAAGGCGCATGTTGTAGAGATGTGGGACAGGTGCGGTGTTCGTGATCGGCAACATTAAGCGTTGGAGTGCACACGGTCAACACGTCGATGGCGACGAAGCGAAAGTAGTTGAAGGTAACGGAGGAGGAGAAAGTAGTTTGAAATTAAGAAAAAAGGAGAGAGCAGGAAGAAGATGGACGGAGAAGAGGAAGATGGGAAAAGGGGGCAGCCGTGGAAGGGTGAGAAGGGAGAAGGCGCGATGTGGATTAGCGAAAGAGCCAGGTGCCTCGTGATCTTCGCCGGACAAAGAGGGAAAGAGCGGATGGGCAAGGAGAAAAAGAAGGCAGTCGCGAATCGCAAAAGCAAAGAGACAAAAGAGAGAAAGAGACAAAAGAGGAAGGACGATAGAAGAGCAAAGGAAGGCGCCGTCACCGAGAGATTCAGGGGAAGCGCAGCTCAAGTTTATCCATATATCTTACCGTACCAAAATCACAATATTGATCCCCAAAAAAATAAGGCCGGCTCCATTCTAGTTATCAGGCTCCTGTCTCAGATGCCAATGTAAGATAAAAATAAAATAACACAGGGAGGACGAAAACATGGACTGAAAAGGATGGGCCTAAGGGAGTAGTAATACGGAGTACGTCACACTCAATAGAGTAAGGAAAGCACGATCCCTCGTTCCTTTCCCTGACCTCCCAGGTGACGAGCTGGCCCCAGGTCCCAAAGAGGAAAGACGAAGCACCGCCAGAACATAAAAACGTGGGCGCAGCTAGTTGGAAGTTTAGGGATCTGGACAGGCGGCGCCCTGGCACTACTGGAGACTAGTGCTGTGACTTGGCCAGGCCAGGCCTCATTAACTGATGCTTAGGGGCCGTTACAATCCCAGGGGAACACAGCAGGCGGCGCGACCGGTGTTAGGTACGCTAAGTCCAAGAACCGACGGGCTGAAGCGGCCAATCGGTTTCGAGGGAGCGTTCCTCGTTCTGCGTCATTCGTTGTCCGTTGTCCGATTTTGTTTTATCCAATGTCATGTCCCACCTACAGCAACGAAATGCAAATAGTAAATAATGTATGACGGCAAGGCCCAAGTTTCTGACATGAAAAGCAAGTTATGGAGCTTGTGAGACCAGTTTTGGTTTTGAGACAAAAAAGTCGGCTTTATTATTTGTGGTCCCATGGCGTAATAACAGTCGAGAAATGCCTGCCGGCGAGCTTTTGGTGACTGCACGGTTGGAAAGGTGCTGGTAACAAAAGATGACCCAGTGACGACGTGATTACATGTATGGCAGTTCTGGGAGGGACCCTGGACAGAAAGGGCTTTACTTGGAAGAGGTGCAGCTGCTGTGCGCCAGGAAAGCTTGACCTTGGAGCTGCGAGGCAGAGTCAAATCTGAATCAGGGGACAAGGAGAAGGGGCGCGAGATCAAAGTGGGCCTGGCCTATTGCTGCCCTGTCTCGCTCTGACGCTGTCAATACTCCATCTTGCCACCTTCCAGCTAGCCCCCGTCGAGCCGTCCCAAGCCAGCCAACTGGGCTGCTGGGACAGCCAACAAGGAAACGACCGTTCCTTTTTATGGAGAAAAACGATTTTACGAAGCCCGTGATGTCCTATCCTGCAGGGGGTTTCAGTACCGCTGTGCAGGAGTAGTCCCCATAGTTCTTCCGCTTGAGCTCTCAGGCACTCGAGGCGGTGTGCTCGTGCAAGGGAAATGGTGGGGGGAGGGTACATCAGACGGAAAATTTATTTTATTGACGGGATAAATAATAGGAGTAGGAACAGGAGATGGACACTTGACACTTGAGAAGTACGTGGCAGACATCAGAGGTGGCATCAGAGGCAGGCTCGGCATCGAAAACAAGTCACTTGACTTGCCACAATGGGGCCGGGCGGCAGCAAAACCAGGGGAAACGAAGAAAGGAGGGAATGACCTCGGGACGAAAGCGGGACGATGAGAACAAAAAGCCCTGCATGGGACAGGAAATGTAAGGGTCCAAATGAAGTCAGACCTGGGGTAAAAGTACGGAGTGGGCCAAGATTGTCGAGCTGCACCTGACCTGGGAGCTGTCGGGCCACTATTACGGAGTACGTATACAGTACTGCGCCTGGTCCGGTACTACGAACTGTTTCGAAGCCACGAGTTGGAATATACACAGCGTAATTGTTCGCTCATTTCTTTACGTACAAAGCGTAGATAGAGGCAGAACATATGAGACGAGCAGATGTGACCAGCTCGTGAGATATGACAACAAAGCACACAGGCGTGGGGAAACTTGGAGAAAAGGACCAACGACAGCGTTTGGCGCGGTTTATAGGAATAGAAAATAGAAAATAGAAAATAGAAAATAGAAAATAGAAAATAAATAGAAATGGCAAACGGAAAATAAGAGAAATGCGACATTGCGGACAAACATAACACCATCGATGGGGTGCATAGAGGAGATGTCGGAAACGGAGTGTGGTTTCCGCTAGACGCACAGTTGACAAAGAAGGATATATGCTGAGGAAGCATGGGACACAGCAAAAAGGGTCTGAGAAAGAGTCGTTAGTGCGGGATGTCCCGTGTCACATGTTGCGTCAGAAAAGGAAGGAAAGGAATGAAATGGAGGACTGAAGGAAGGGAAGGAGCTTTCCAAGCTGACGTTGCACTGGTGTCTTCCCTGAACGACCTTCTCTTTCCAGCCTTGCCCATAATAAAGGCCGACAACACAGTTCTGCGCCCTTTTCGCGGTCGCTCGCCTGCCACCTTTTCAACGACCTTTCGACCTTTCCCAACGG